ACCAGTCACTGATGCTGCTGCCTGAATACCACCAGAGGATCAAGGTTTGGATCTTTCCACAGAGTTTCTGTTTGGACTTTAACAGTCGATCAAATTGTGAAATGCAACTGTGTTGAAGACTGAAGTTTGTATACTTGTACTTAAAACTTTGAAGAGCTGATTGAAAGAAAGAAAAAACTACATTTACAAAACTCTTACAGGATTTTTCTCTCTGACTTGAACTACACCGTTACAAGGCATAGCTACTTTCGCACCAAATATACTTCCATAGCTTCCTTTCCTCTAACATGTGGCTTTAAAAAGGGTGTCTATTTTGCAAAATTCACTTTTTTATGTTTCTGTTTGGATTTCAAGTCCTTCTAAAAAACAACTCAAGCATTTAAAAAAAACACTGAGCTGTTTTTAACAATAAGTTAATGCATTTCTGTTTCAGAAACTACCAATTGTTAAGTCACATTTGGCATTACTTGGCAACCCAACCCTGTTACCTAGCTACCCAAGCAGAGCTCCAGCACATTTGGTCAGCTGGTTTTACCGCTTTATGCGCTATACAATGGCTGCTGGAAAACATAGGTGTTTTGTTTTTGACTTCCCATCCAGAAACCACTTGCCGCATTCTTGTTGGTTGTGCAAGAGGCTCTACTAATACTTTTCAAAGATGTGCGGTTGTATAACTGTGCATCTGTTTGCAGCCATTTTCACCTGTGAGTGTAAACGTTGAGTTGGGGGGCAGAGGTCGTGGCCAGCAGCTAACTGTTTGGATTTAAAGCTGCAGTATGTAACTTTTACACAAATATGTTTAATCCATATTTATTAAAAGTGTGACCATGTTGTGACCACATGGTTTGAGACGGATAATCTGTCAAAACATCGATCTCCTCAACCTCCTCCCATTGCTACTATTGTGGTTTTCAAATATGCACTGCTCCTGGTCAAAAACAACCAATCAGAGCCAGGAGGAGGGTTCTAGCGCAGTCAATCATCCTCGTGTACATGCTACTTAATGTACTAATGGAGGAAAAGCAACTTACCATTACAGGAAAGCTGTCATCTGTGGCTATGCTAACTAGCCTTAGCATCGGTGTCAGGCTATGTTGTGATGAACCAGGTGTAGCACAACAGAGAGACGTAACAATTTATCATCTAGCAGAATTTGTTATCTTGACAGGCCTACTAGAGCTATCCTAACCTGTTCAAGGATTTTAAGGAAGCGGGTTCAGTCCTGCAGTCGTTCGTCAGTCTTAATCCTGACCAGGTTTGTTCACCTTCCTGCTCTGTGGCCCTCAGGTCCTTCAGTCGCTGCAGTACATCGACAGCAGCGGCGCGGTGCAGCTGAAAGGCCGAGTGGCCTGTCAGATCAGCAGCCACGAGCTGCTGCTGACCGAGCTGCTGTTCGAGAACGTCCTGAGCCCGCTGGCGCCCGAAGAGAGCGCCGCCCTGCTGTCCTGCCTGGTCTTCACCCAGAACACGCAGACGGAGCCGCACATCACCAGCACTCTGAAGGAGGTGAGGAGGAGGAGGAGACGGGCTCTGCTCCCTGCGCATCACGGAAAGTAGTAGTTAATGAAGCGACGCGTTGCAGAGACGCCGCAGTGACTCATTTTGTGTAAGGCTGTGTTGACCTGATGCATAACATCCTGCAGAAAGGACAGCGAGGCCTCGTCTCCTGACTCACACCGGGTCACATATTAAATCACTTTCTGCATCAGAGTGTCGGGAGCAGCCTCGACATGAAAGAGCTTTACTGGAGCTTAAATTAGTGATGACCAGAGTCGCTCTCTGGAAGAAAAAAATCACAGATTTTCTGGGAAACGATCCTCCTGTTGACACCCAGCAGCAGCTTGTAGAGTCTGACAGGTTTTATCCACTTTGTCCCGTTTCTCTCCTTTCAGAGCATCGACCGCGTGCTGTCGGTGGCCCAGCGGATCGGGCAGCTGCAGCGGGAGTGTGGGATCGCACAGACGGCCGAGGAGTTTGTGGGCCAGTTCAAGTTCGGCCTGACTGAGGTGGTGTACTGCTGGGCCAGAGGCATGGTGAGGATGTCCACGTTGTGACCCAGTTCTCACCTTTTACACCACATTTCATGCAAACTGCAGCGTCCGACTGTTGTAAGAGTTGTTCATTTGAAACCAGTAAAACCTGATGCATCTCTTGGGGTTTTCTAGTAATTGAAGGAGCGTTCACTCCGGCCACGTTTAGGAAGTTTGATTTGTTCATGGAGGTGTAAATGTGCAATCAAATTCTGAAAAAACAAACTCCTGTACGCCTAAAAACCTCCATCTAAGCTGTTGAATTGAACTCTGACGTAATTCAAATGGATTTGTGAATACCAAGCAGACCAGAGGCCACTCCAAAAGCAGGGCATTCTGGGTAAATACAACCAAACAAACACCATAATCTAGCGTTACAGGATAAAATGGCTCGTGGTCTTTTGCAAAAGACAAAAGAAAAGTCGTACAAAAATCTGACGCTTCTCCATCGTTGCTTACATTTCATGAAGAAGGAAGTTGAGCTCATTTGTTCTTCAGAGGTTTCTGTGTTGTTTCCTTCAGTGGTTCTTAATGCAGCGCCACCACAGGCGAGGAGGGGAACAGGTTGTCAATGACAGTGCAACTTCAAAAAGAACCACAGCAGCTGAAAATGTAACAAGTGTTGCAGTTTTGGTTCCCCAGTTGAACTGAATCAAACGGATTCAGTTCACCTTAAACTTCAACTTGTTAAGAAAATGTCCTTAGGGTGTCACGAGAATAAAGGCATAGAAATATGAAAATAAAGTCAAAGTATTACAAGAGTAAATTTGTAATATTATGACTTTATACTTATATTTATTCTCATATTTTTATAGATTATTCTTTTAATATTACGACTATTTTTTTTAACTTCATTTCTTTTACTTCTCATAATTTTTGTACCTTATTTTTGTAACATTATGACTTTATTCTCATAATTTTATTACTTTTCAAAATGTTTTACTTTATTTCTTTAATATTGACTATTGTAATTTATTTTTTCTTTGCGTGGCCGTAGTCATAGAAAAGGAAGCAAGCAAAAATAAAATCAATTAGAATAAAAATAGAATCTGAATGTTATTTTTCAGCCCTAAAGTCACATTAACTCGAGCTGGCCAATAAATAAAGTATTTTTGAGTCATATGTAGTTATATTATCGCACCTGTTTGCTCCGTTACATTAATCTACCCATTGATTTATTGATCAATTGCTCCACTAACTGATCTCCTGTCCTGCTGCAGCCGTTCGCTGAGATCGCGCTGCTCACAGACGTGCAGGAGGGCACGGTGGTCCGCTGCATCCAGCGCCTGGACGAGGTGCTGAAGGAGGTGCGGCAGGCCGCCCGCATCGTGGGAGACTCCGTCCTGGGCAGCAAGATGGAGAAAGCCTCGTTGGCCATCCGCAGGGACATCGTCTTCACCGCCTCCCTCTACACCCACTGAGAAAACGAACCTGAAGGATGGACGAGCCAATCATGTAGAAACTGGACACACAAGGAAGGGGAATGTTTGTGCCTAAAGAAAGTGGAAGCTAGCTGATGTTTACATGGAAATCTGGGAGAGATTTTAACTAACAGACCAAATACTTCAGGTAAAGGACGTGGAGTTTGGGTTGTAAATTATTGTACAGAATTAAAATCTGTTCCCAAACTGCTTACATGAATTTCTTTTTAAAAAAAATGTGTTGTCAAGATTATTTAGGGAGAAAACTGAGGTTCTGAGAAGATAAATTAATCATGTTTATCAAAAAATAAATAAAAATAATCCTAAGAAGGATTGTTTCAGCAGGGCTGGTGAAAGATTATACAGGGCTGGAGGCACAATTAGATTTTGGGCCCCACTTCCTGTTAATTCTACAACTCTAGTAACTAATGTTCATGTTTTATTTTTTATTCTATTTCAATGTATTTCATCAGTGATGGGACATATTAACCAACATAAGTGCATTAAAACAACCGTGTAAATATGGCAGCTTTAGCCACAAGGGCTAATTTTCATATTTAGTCCCCTGGTTGATGGTAAAAACACAAAATGAATAGAACCATGCACAGCATAGCATTTACAACAAATTACATTATGTAGTTATTTCAGCTACTTTAAATTTTATTGCTTGTAGCCAATTAAAACACTGATTTGAAGAAAAATTGAGTATTCTGTATTGCCAATTAAAAGGGTTTTTAATTTAAATTTTATATTCTGGTCAATTGAATGATGAACAATCAGTCACCTCCTTTTGTTGCTTTACCTCTTTTTTGTGGTTATCAATACTTGCGTTTCCATTGACCATACAATTGGTGCGATTTCACATTTTGAAAATAAATTAGCCTACAGAAACTAATTTTGACATTTTTTGATTAAGTTTTGTCACTTTAATGAGAGTTTTTGTTTTTTTTGGCCATATCAAAATTTATTTCACAAAACTGCATTGGAAACAATTTTCTCATCACGCGAGTCACATGATCAATAACAGGATGTTGCTACTGGAGCAAACCACGAAGAAGATGACAACAGGAAGTGGTAGGAGGATGTTTTTAATGGCTTATCTCGTGAACAAACTTAATTTGTGTGATTTTTATTGCGTTTCTTGTTTAATGAAACACCGTAACTTTGACGTTTTCTTTTTGTTATATTCTCGGAATATAGACAAACATTTATTTGTAATGGAAACTCAGCTACCGACTATTCTTTAGATACATTTTGAGCCTATAGTAAAGGATTAGTTTTGATAAGTAATGATCAAATTTGCCAAATATGTCATAAAAGGTTGTTTTTTATATTAAAATTTTACTTTACCTAAACTACAATTTCATTTTTTTATTAATATTTTTCGGTGGATATTTTTTATATTTAATGGTGCAGATCTGGATTTCTGTTTCTGCCAAAGCAAATATATATTTTTTATTTTCTCTATTTTAAAGCTCTTTGCCACCCAGATCGCTTCTGCTTTGGGCCGGCTCGCTTCCAGCCCACATTACGGGCTGTCGCTTTAAGACGAGGGTAGTTTTGTGTTTCATTAATTCAATATACAGCGACGTGTTGGTGAAGAAACCTTATCGGAGCAGCAGCCACACGGAGCGGAGCAGCGGAGCGACACCGAGGATTAAAACCCCGTTAGAAAGAAAAACACCTCGAGTTTTTTTCAAACCGAGCGTGTTTTTAAGATGAAGACATCCTGAAGATGGGTTTAACGCATTTGGAGAAATAAAATCATCGAAAGGAGGTTTTTATTTTCTTTCTTTTTTTATTATTATTTTTAATATTCACCAGCAGCTGGAGTGAAACATCTGACTAAAGGAGACGTACAGAAAACCGGGAGGCATGTCGTCTGAAAAACACGGTAAGACTGAGACGCATTTTCTCTCTTTTTTTTGTCAGATTGGTTCACATTTTTGCTCCATCCTGAGCTGCTTGCTTCAGCGGGAGGATGCGCCGCTGTGTGGGTGCAGCATGAGGGGGAGAAAATCACCGCAGGGCCTCTAATTATCACTGTTAAAAGTGTCCCCGTCAGGGTAGTTTCGGGTCATTTCCACCCCGGCGACACGATTCCACCCGTATTTCATCTTGAACCACCCAGAATGTGGCGTTGAAATTCACAAAACCTCAGTTTTAATCTCTCATTTCCATCATTACGCACAAGCTTACGTACGTCTCCCCAGACTGTTTGATGTGGGTGTCCTCTGCATGCGCGTGCCTTTACTTGCTCGTGCCTCCGCTAATTAATCAATAATAAATAAATAAATAAATAATGACAGTAATAGCCGTGGGTCTGCAGCCATAGTTTCATTTAATATTGAGAGCGGAGACGGAGCTTTGCATCCAGAATAAACTGGAGCTGAAAACTGGAGCTGATACAGAGGAGGAGGGAAACAAAGGACGAGCAGCAGCAATAAAGAAATAAAACTGTCTGTTACATTGGTTCTGCATCATACGATTTATATCAAAACAGTTTCAGAAATTAATTTTAAAAAGCGACTTTCTATTACAGCTAGAAACTAGTGATCAGGTTCTGAACCTCCAAAGACACATAAAGACAGTTGCAAAGTTGGTCTTCTATCATTTCTAGGTTTTAAGGATTAATATCCCAGCAAGTTTTACATGTTTAATCTATTTTTGGTCTAGTTTCTAGTGTAAATATATTAGTGTTTAAAATAAGACAAAACTAAGTTACGAGTTACTTTTTAATAAGATATATGGGCTGTTTGAAGTCAGTAATTCCTTAACGTTGATGTTTAAAAGTTCTAATTCCACTGGCAGATTATTTTACTTATTACTTGGGAAAAATGCCCTTAATCCTCCAGTGGAACTAGTACTTATTTTTTCACTTCTGTAACCGATGCTTTTCTTCAAGTCATGAGTGTTTGGTTTAGTTTAGTTTATTTAGGATCCACATTTGGCTGCAGCTGCTCATCGGCTATTCCTACATCACGTGAATTACATCACTAAAACACTTTTTAGAGATTAAAAAAAAAAACAAACTGCTTTCTATTATAGCTAGAAACTAGTGATCAGGTCCTGAACCTCCATATACACATAAAGACAGTTACAAAGTCGGTCTTCTATCAGTTCCAGGATTAAAAAACTAATATCCCAGAAAGCTTTATATGTTTATTTATTGTACTTTTGGGTCTAGTTTCTAGTCTGTTAGTGCTTGAAATAAGACAAAGCTAACTTCCAAGGTACTTTTTAATAAGATATAGGAGATTGTTTTAAGTCAGTCATTCCTTAACATTGATTTTTTTTTTAGAAGTTAGTTTCACTGTCAGATTGTTTCACTTATTTCTTGGGAAAAATGCCTTTTTGTAAGTGAAATAATCTGCTAATGGGACTGGTAGTTATTTTTCCACTTAATGTTTTAAAAACCACCCTTGTGTTACAGCTATAAACTATAGCAATCAGGTCCTGAACCTTCAAAAACACATAAACAGTTACAAAGTTGGTCTATCATTTCTAGGACTAAAATACTAATAACCCAGCAAGCTTTATATATTTATTCATTTTATCTAGTTTCTAGTATAAATATCCTGGCATTTGAAATAAGACAAAATAAACTTACAAGTTACTTTTAACTTGTAGGAGCTTGTTTTAAGTCAATAATTCCTTAATTTTAAACAAGGATTATTTCACTTATAATATGGGAAGCATTTTGGTCCCATGTCACATGATTTACTTCCCTGGAACAGTTTATAGACATTAATTTAAAAACAACAATCTATTACAGCTAGAAACTAAAGTGACCAGGTGTAGTGATGAACCTTCAAAGACACATGAAGACGGTTACAAAGTTGGACTTCTATCATTACAAGAACGTTTCTAGGATTAAAGCACTAGTGTCACAGCAAGATCTAGAGAAACTCTACTGGTTCCAGAATGTGGCAGATTATTCACTATACATTCCAATCTGCCAATGGAACGTATAGTTCGAACTATACATTTTAATCAATATTAGAAAATTATTGAACAAGCTCCTGAAAAATTACTTTTCAGTTATTTTTGTCTTGTTTCAAGTGTACTGACATTTGCACTAGAAACTTCTACTTTGTAAGATTTTGTGTTTTTGCAGTGTGAAATATTTGGTTTGTCTCTCTCCGTCTCAAACTCGGTCAGATTAGATTATTGGTACGTTTGTAGTAATAACTACAAGAGCAGCAGCTTTAACTCTGCACTGCTTAACTGACTTTGTTCAAAATTTAGATTTTCAAAAATGTACCTAGAGGAAACATTTTAGTCTCAAATTTAAAAAGCTTAAATTTTGAAAAAATCAGCTGCAACACTCAGATTTAACGCGGTGAGCCAGACAGTTCTCTCAAATTGATCAAACTCATTTTAAGTATAATTTGTCACAAATAGATCAATATGTTATGGTGTATTGTTCTATTTGCCATTCAATCAACATATTACCAAGCAAAATCAAGCATCCTACTCCACAAAAAGTGCTTGTTCCACTGGCGGATTATTTAACTTTTAACGTGGGAAAAATATCTTGTTATGAGTGAAATAATTTGCCAGTGGAACTATTACCCTTTTAATATCAATACTAAGTTATTATTGACTTAAAACAAGCTGATAATTCTTACTGAAAAGTTACTTGGAAGTTAGTTTTGTCTTATTTTTCCCCCATTGAAAACTTAGACAATTCTGCTGAACATGTAGCATAATATCTTAATACTCATCTCCCTTCACTGCTCCGTATTGGATTTCTCCCATGTACTTTGATTCCCTCCACTGGGAAAAAAAAGCAGGCTGACTTTCTTGTAATTGTTCAATGGAAATTGTTATTGTTAGATATCAGAATATTTTTTACCAGTGTAGGTTGTTTTTCAGAATAAATGAGGAAACAAACATCAGCAGCAGTGTTTAATCCATTTGTTGCACAAGCTTATGTTTTGTGGATTATTTCACGTGAACGCTGATGTCTTGTGAGAAATGTTTTGCCTCTTGTTGCCCGTAGTTCCTGTAAGCCTTCAAATCTTCTGAGAAACATGAGGATAAAATTGCCTCTGGTTGCTTTTGCAAATAAACTGCTTGTCCCGTCTTTAACCTTCGCTGGGTGTCTCTCTGTGTTTCTGGTCCACTTCCTTTTTGTGACGGCCGTTAAGGAAACTCTATATAAAGCGAGAGTCGTCACTGCAAAAACACAAAGTCTTACAAAGTATTTTTGGTCTAGTTTCTATTGCAAATGTCTTTTTACACTTGAAATAAGACAAAACAAACTACCAAGTAACTTTTTCAAAAATATAAGATAATAATAATTCCTTAGTATTGACGAAAATGTATTAGTTCCTGTTGGATTATATTCATTTATAATATGGGAAAAAATTGCTCTAAGTGAAATAATCTGCCAATGGAACAATTACCTTTTTAAATTTAATATTCAGAAATTAATGACTGAAAACAAGCTCCTACACTACAAAAACAGAAAATCTTATCAAGCGTTTTGGTCTAGTTTCTAATGTAAATATCTTATTACACTTGAAATAAGACAGAACTAACTTACAAGTAACTTTTTCAGGATTGTTTTTAAGTCAATAATTTCTTAATATTGATGTAAAAGTATTAGTTCCACTGGCAGATTATTTTACTGAGAACATTTTTCTCATAAGTGAAATAATCTGTCAGTGGAACCGATACTTTTTCATCAATAATAAGGAATTATTGACTTAAAACAAGCCCTTAATTTGCTGAAATGTTACTTTAAAGATATGAGCTTGTTTTCAGTAATATTGAAAAAAATGTCCTATTAGAGGATCTAGTACTTTTAAAAAAATCAACATTAAGGAATTATTGACTTAAATGACACTCCTATATCCTGAAAAGTTAATTGAAAGTTATATTTCATTTGTACTAAGATATTTGCACTAGAAACTAGACTAAAATACTTGTTAAGATTCTGTGTTTTTGCAGTGCAGCCGCTCGGTTCAACATCCAGCATCCACCTGTTTCCCCCCTCTCTTCCCTCCTCCATGTCCCTGTCAGGCAGTATTATCTCAGCCCCCCTTTATGCTGTGAAAACACGACACTCTATCAGTCATTTTCTGACAAACACGGAGAGAACTCACAAGTGGGAGAAAGCAGACGAGATTCTCCACGATGAAATGCCACATGTCTGACTGATGATAAACAGAGATGAAAAGGGTATTTGTTTCATCGTCTTCATCCTGAGGTGTGAAAATGTCGACTGCTGTCATCATTAATGCTGAGATGGAGCAGGTTGGAGAATATATGGCCTTCCTGTACAATTCTGCTTGATTCTCATCTCCCTTCACTGCACCGCATTGGATTTCTCCCATGTACTTTGATTCCCTTCTCTGGGGGGAGAGGGGGGAGAGATTTGAAACTAAAAAAATGTAAATCTGAAAAACTATTTTGAAACTGAAAAGTAGTCGTGAACATTTCTTTAGGCCATAATGTTTGCTCAGTAATGTTTATTGTGAAACTGAAAAAAATTAAAGAGAATAAAATTAAACTGACAAAAATACAAAGATATTTGAAACAGAAAAAATACATTTTAAACAGAAGAATCATTTCAAATTGAAAATTATGTTTGAAATTAAGTTTGAAACTGAAATAGAAATTCGATACTAAAAAACGTAAAACCGAAAAACTATCTTGAAACTGAAAGAGAAAAGTTTGAAATTGAAAAAGAAATATCTGAGAAATGGTGTCAAAATTGATTTTCAGTTTTATTTTTTGTGAACATTTCTTTCACATCTACTTAGGCCGTAATATTTGCTCAGAAATGTTTGTTTTGAAACAGGATAAAAAAAAATTAACTGAAAAAAATATTTGAAACTGTAAAATAATTTTGAGAAAAAAATAATTATTTCAAATTGAAAACATTTTTAAAAATAAAAAAAAGTTTGAAACTGGAAAAGAATTAGCTGAAAAATAGTGTCAAAATTGCGTTTCAGGTTATTTTTTCCAAATGTAAAATTATTTTTAGTTTCAAATCTTTGTTCAGTTTCAAAATTATTTTTTCAGTTTTAAGAGTTTACTTTTCTGTTTTGAATATTTATTTCCAATTTGAAAACGAAAATTTTTTATGCAAACATTATGGCACCAATTTAGCTCCTTATGACATTTAGACGAGCTGCGTTCACATCGTGTCTGTTTACCGTCACTCTCCTTCTCTCAGGACTCGACGACTCCGGCCGTCAGACCATGCAGCCGCCCCCGTACCTCCCTGGCCCCCAGGATTCCAACATGCAGCAGCATCCCAACATGGCCGCCGTGCCGGGCGCCCAGCCCGGTTATCCCGCTCCGCCGCCGCCGCCACCTCCGGGCTCCGAGGGATACCTCCAAGAAACGACGTTCCACTTCGGGACTCCGGGCGCCGCGCAGGGCTACACGGTGCAGACCCAGGGCCCCGGAGGCGCCATCCAGCACCCGCCCGTGGGGTACATCCACCCGGGCTACCCGCTGCAGCTGCAGCCATGCACTGCTTACGTTCCCGTTTATCCCATGGCGTCGGTGAGTCACAGACCGACTCCGAAACTCTCTGAGATTTATTTTTTCTAACTTTTGTTTTGTTTTTATCTATAAACTTCAGGATTAGTGGTGCCACATTGAGGCAGTTTCATGTTGCGTTTATTTATTTTTAGGTTAAAATCTTGATTTTTAAGTCAACCTTTGCTTACTCTAACTAGAAATATTTGACGTTTTGGGTGAATCTTAATTGAAAATCCTTTACAAGTTTTATTTTTATCATCATCAATATTTTTGGTACATATTAGTATCGTTTTAGATTTAAAGGTAAAACGTTCACGGATTAGTAAAACAAGTTAATATCAAAGTTCGTCTGATTTCCAAAGTTTTCATTCAGTTTTATTTTTAGTCCATTTTATTAGAAAAAGATAAATATTTCAGAATAAATTCAAGATAGAAACATTTAGTTTTCTTTTTGGATCAATAAAGTATGTTTGAATTAGAATTTCAAATTTAATTTAAAAAGTTTGGAAACTTACCTTGAAAAGTGCTTGAATTCTACAATGGGAAAAGAGTGCCATCGCTGCTGTAAGCTTCAGTTTTAATAATCTAACCGCTCCATGTTCGGTCCGCTCAGGGTCAGCCCTACATGCCAGCAGCAGGAAGCCACCCGGGGATCCCCCCAGGCCAGATCCACCCCATGCAGATGCCCCCCAGCATCACCCTGATGGACCGCCGGCCGCCCCACGACTACCTGCCCATCGCCGTGCTAACCACCGTGTGCTGCTTCTGGCCCACAGGCATCATCGCCATCATCAAGGCAGTGAAGGTAAAACTCATTTTATTATTGTACCTTTATGTCAGAATAATAAGAACTGCTAATACTTTAGCGGATAATGACACTTTGGAAAATTTAACACATCTCTGACTTTGTGTACTAAACAGCTTACTTGTATTAAACAGCTGCCTCAGCCTTAACTGATGTCAGATTATAGATCTGTACGCTGAGTAATAAAAAGGCATAAATAAGCATAAATATCACTAATATTTCCAAAGTAGTACCACAAACAGCGCCCCAAAGTGATTTTTATTGCAAAAAAAAATCACAAAAACAATTGCGAAATTCTGGAGGGACTGGAAAGATGTTCAACATGATCTCATTTTAAGAATTTATTAATATTTTGAACAGGTTTTATCAACACATTCTGGCACAATCGGCCCTTTAAGAACATTTATGATCTTAATTTGGCCCTAAACAAAAATGAAGTTTGACACCTCTGCTCTAAAACCATCCAAACGTTGGGGAACGCTGCAAAACAAAATGCATAAAGTGTTTGGAGCAGCATAAGGTGGGAAGCTGTTTCAGTTGGAGCTGTGTGCCGGAGTTTTTCCATGCAGGACGCGGTGATCACAGCTCCTTGCGGTGGCTCTCCTCACACTTAATGAGTCCTGTTGTTCCATCTGTGTGACGGTAAACCGGGCTGACCAACATGCACTCAACATGCCACGTTACGTAACCGCACCACTGTCAGTGCAACGGGACAGAATGGATTTCGTCCTCCGGGCCGCTCAGCTGCCTGTGAGCTGAGCGGAGCTGACAGGCCGTGGAGGCGCCGGTCCGAGCGGTACAGTATGTGTGGCCGCTGCTCGGCCCCGGCGGCATGGGCGGGCACACAGTCAGCCGTGCCCGCCCTGACCTCGAAGCTGTTTAATTTATTTATTTATCTTTTACCTCCGAGTGGTCAGCCTTCTATTATTTTATTTTAATTTTATCTCGATTTACTCCCGCACTTCTCGTACTTGTTCCCCGCAGGGGTTTTTTAGCCGTTACAACTGTTTAAACCGTTGTTAACATGTCGTACCGTGTTTTTCCGAGCCGTCTTTAAACGCAACATGAGCGGTTACGATGCTAGCTCCCGCGGATTAGCAACCGAGACATTTTGCTGTGCAGATCTGAATCCCGGTGTGTTAGAAATTAAAATCATGACAGAAAACCAGCAAACTGCAAAGGCAAATAACTTTTGCAGTTTTCTCTAAACAAACCAAGTAGAGTAATAAGCTATTAGCTAGTTAACCCATGACAATATATGTTAAGCTAGTTAGCTAGAGCAGGCTACTAATTGTTGCTGTCTATCTTCAGAGGTGGGTAGTTGAGTAACTTGGGGGAGAAAAAAGTTTTACTGCACTGTACTTTTTACTTTTAGTAATAGTAATAGTGACATTATTCCTTCTACTAACACTACTACTAATGATTTTGCATTTAAAATACAAAGTGCTTTGTTCATGTACATCTGCAATATTTTGTTTTCATTAAAATCATAAAATCAAATTCAGTTTTTCTTCATTTAAAACCATTATTACACTGTGTCATCACAGAGTGAATTGTGAATAACTGCTACACATTGAAACTTCCATGATTTCAGAAAAAATGGGTGAAATCATTCCCTCCTAGAACATTTTCTGTACTTTTTACAGCGAAAATAAACAAAAATAGCCAGTTGCAGATTTTGAGGTTTAGGTAGAAATAGACTTCACAGATTGGAAACATTAGATTTTTGCAATATATAAGATAATATTTATAAAATCTGAGCATAATTACTCAACATTTTGTACATGTCACTGTTTACATCATTAGTTTTTGTATTAATAAGCAAAATGGATGTTTTATTTGAAAGTTATATGTTTGTTTATGTATTCATATTAAATTAAATACCTATTTACTGTGCCCCCTCCCTAAATAAGTGATCGCCATGCAGCAAAAATTTCTGTGGAGCCGGGTCTGTCGCTGCCGTGTGTTTTGTGTTTGTGTTGCATGCAGCGGCCTCTTCCTGCACATGCAGCCTGCGCTGCAGTGAAATCGATCCATACATGGTGCTGTCTTGCTCCCACTCATGCACCGTCTCGTTATGCAACGTGTTTCGCTCAGTTCGCCTCTCTTTTCCTGTCCACTGCTCAGGTGCGCATGGCGATAGCCCGAGGGGACATGGTGACTGCGGAAATAGCGTCCCGTGAGGCCCGCAACTTCTCCTTCATCAGCCTGGCCGTGGGCATCGCCTCGCTGGTGCTCTGCACCATCCTCACCGTGGTAGTCATCATAGCCTCGCAGCATCATGACGACGACTGGGACCCCTAACTGGTCCCGCTTTCCCAGCAAGAGCGTCTAAATATTATCTATCTAACTACTGTCAATCGCTTGGTGAGGAGGGGGGGAAAGGAAAATGCACCGCTTTTGCTTGTCGGCCCTTTCTGTACAGCTACCCACACAGTTTAAAGACCTAACCTGCTTCTATCAAACACCCACCAATGGCCAAAAATAGCAAGCGGTTGTTAAATAGGTCCAGAGTGACCACTTAATATTTGCTTTCATATTAAAAGTATGAGCTGCAGGATGGAGGCAAACCTTCTTGTGTTCGCGATCCATTTGTCTGCTGCTAATTGATGCAGTTAGGTAACCAACTGTAAGTCACTGTGTGCTTAATATTTCAACAACCGACTCACAATGTTCATTTATTACACTGCAAAACACTAAATCCAAGTATGTTTGGTCAGGTTTCTGCTGTAAATATCTTAGTACTCTTGAAATAAGAGAAAACTGACTTACAAGTAACTTTGTGTGAGCTTGTTTTAATCAGTCAAGCTTATTTGTAGAGCACATTCCAGCAACAAGGCAGCTCAAAGTGCTTTACATCATACACACACAAAAATAGAAAGCCATAAAGCAACAATTTCAACATTACGTTTTGCCAAGTCATTACAAATCAAAATGTTGGTTAGCGTTGCTTTAATTTTGGTTAAAAAGCAACTCCAAACAGGTGAGTTTTTAGTATGTAAAATTCTTAACAATTCCTTAATTTTGATAAAAAATTACTAGTTCCATGAGCAGATTATTAAACTTTTAGGAAGACATTTTTGTCATATTATAAGTGAAATAACCTGCCAATGAAACTACCACATTTTCATCAATACTAAGGAATTGTTGACTTAAAACAAGCTCTTAAATCTTGCTGAAAAATTACCTGTAATTTGCAGACGAAACCTGACCAAAAATACTTGGTAGGATTTTGTGTTTTTGCAGTGTAAGTCAGTTAAATTTACTTTTAGTCCTGCTCAGTGCATAATGCATCATTGCTGGAGCACGAAATAGTTTTTATTTGTTTTTATAAAGGTTTTCTGCTCCACAAGGCACTAATTTGTGAAGATGGATTGGCCTCTATGCATTTATACGACTATCATCATGCATGGGACCCATTCTAGTAATTAAGTAATGGGACTCAGATGGCGTGTCCTTTGGTTATGTAATGGTTCCTCCAAATCAGAGGCAGTTCAACTCTGGGTAATAATCGGGACCCGTACAGGTCTCAGATGAGCTGAATAATTTAAAATGATACTCATTTGTGTCCCAGCTAAGATTTATAACTGGTTTTACCGACACTGGTTGCATTGGCCCATTGTGAGCCCCAGCCTGAGGAAAACACACATGGGGCCCAACATGCAGCAGCATCAGAAAGTATTCACACCTCATCACTTTTTCTATTTTTTTTATTTATTTATGGATTTTGGTTTCGTTTTTTTTTCTTTCTTTTTAAACAAAACCCACACCAGATAGCCTACAATGACAAGATGAATACAAGTTTTCAGTCATATTTGTAAATTTAAACAATGTTAAAAAAGTAAAGGTAGTAAGTCGATATATATTCATATCTGTAGCTTAATATTTTTGGTTTTATCACCTTTGGCAGCTAGTTTAGTCCGACTGACTCCTCTACAAGCTTGGTTTGTTGTGTATTTTCTATTCTCTGCAGAACCTCGAGGTAAGTGCAGGTGGATAAGCGTGATGAATTCATTTATGTTTCCGGATAAATTTTAAAGCGCACATTGCTTGTCTATTTTGTAAAGGTTCAGTTGAATAAAATTCAGCATCAGTGTTGAAGTTTTGGTTACCGACTGTTAAGAATTGTTCAAGTATTAGTATACAAGACCTTCTTTTGAAGTGAGTTTATGCATTACTTTGTTAAATATTCTCAAAGTGACTCGTTTATGTGAAAGAATACAAGATTTTTTTTAGTTTTAAATATTTATTTCGATACCAGTAGGTGGCGGTAGAGGGCACTTTAACTTTATTTTTTGCCAACCGAGTGGAAGAAAACTGTTTAGACATAATTTCCGTTGTTCTGGGAGATCGACAGAACAACGCTGTGATTATCACCATGTGCTTATGTACTTTTATTTTTATCAGCAGCATAACACCATGACATAGAAGTGAGATTGTCATATACTTTGTTATTAATGGCTGTATGACATATCCTGACTATCCTGCTAACCAGTCAGAACGAACAGGGAGGTGAGTTTTATATGTTTTGTAGTTGACTGCAGCTGCGGCTAGAAAATACACTTAGAAACCAGGACAAAGCATATATATCCATCTAGTTCTCATTAAAAACAATTCACTATATTATTTTTAGTTGTATCTTGTGTATAAGCTGAACTGAGCTACTGTAAATGTCGCGGACCTCTTAATGCGCATGTGCACGCATGCGTACTCGCTGCATGTATGCTACTCAACAGAACATCGTTTCTTCTCCTGACGTGCTCCGTTTTCACCCCGATTTAATTTATTTAAAACAAGCTTACACGAACAAACCAAAACGGAAAGAGAAGAAGACACAAACATATAAACATAAAGGTATTGTAGAATATAAATCATAGTGTTAACATTAAATTGGATCTAAAGTGTTGTAAGGCCGATATAATTTGAATAGAAGCTAGCAATTTAGCATTAGCTTCCACTTAAAACGTGTTGGTAGGATGGTGTGATTATCAGTTGCTGTTTTTGTCCAGACATGATTCTAAAAAGTTTAATTTCAGTGTCATCAGACCAATTTCTCATAACAAAATGCACATTTCATAAACTCTCCAAAATTTCTAAAATCATGTTTCCCCCTTATTTTTTATTATTATTATTTTTTTATAAAGTAAACTATATTTAATTTGGTTTTTGGCTAAATCTGTAACAAAATGTGCAGAAAAAAAGAGGTTGTGAATACTTTCTGATGTTAGATGTCAGCAAACTTTGCTTTAATTTCCATAAAATGCCAGATGAGATAGCACTATTATAAATTATATGTTTTCTAATTTATTTATATATTATTTATTTTCTTATTTATTTAATCCTGACCCTTGCATCAACCTTGTCTGCTGTAATCTGTAGTGAGTCGTTGCAGCTATCTGATACTCTGAATTGGCTTACCGTTAGTACCTCGTGATGGTAATGATGATGATATTGCACTTTGTAGTAACCAGATAAAATGACACAGCTGTTTACATTTATAGATCTTATAGTGCATGATGAATATAAATCTAGGCTAATGGGCTTTTAGTGCAAAAGTAGCTGTGCTCCCAGCTGCTGATGGGAACATTTCCTAAAATATTCAATGGATTTGTGATGCAGTATTTTCCAAAGTGGTAAACAAGCTACTCCAAAAAAACAAGAAATGGAGACATAAATAGAAAGAATATACAGATTAGATCTGCAGATATTCTTTTTGCAAGTAATTTAGACGAGTTTTAGCCTTTATTTTCTGTGGCAGAGCTAATATTTACCCTCTAATACTCTGTTCTTAGTGCAGCAGTAGACATATGAGGTAACATAACCCTGCATGTCATCCTCAGTTTGTTTCCATTTGTCCTAAGTATTAAGGATAGATGTGTGCGTTTCTACAATGTAGCTCCGAACAGCAGCTGGGCTGTTGTCTCTGAGAGGTATCGTGGCTGTGAAGTCGCTCTATGAACTTTTATCTTAGGGTTATGAAATGAATGTTTCAAGTAAAAGAGAGAAAATATTAATGCCTACATTGTGTTGTAGCACTTTCTGCTCTATGAAAACTTTATCCCTCCCTGTGAGTCCCTAATAGGTCCATACTCTGATATGGACCTATTACATATCTCTTCTGCTCCACATTGTTTCTCTGCTTCTCCCTTTGATGATGATACTTTAAAAAATAATATAGTTATTTAAATTTATAGACAGTATTTTAAAAAAACGATATATGCTGTAGTTTGTAATTAAGAGTATTATTAATGGCGACGTGTTATTTTCTGTATATCTGGGAACATCTGGGCCTTCATTTATTAATCAGAAACAAGGATTTACCCTGCAGCTGTACTGTACTTCTTAAAAAGGAAATGTCATTCTTTTGTAAAATCAGTTGTGGGTTTATGTTTAAATTATTTTCTTTTACGAGTGTCATGAATTGTCTTAGCTAATTACTTACTTGGATGATATTTTTAGTCATTTCTAGTCATCATAAATAAAATTATTAGATTTAGGAAACAATTATTTTTTCACATTAGTTTGAAAATCTTTTTTCCCCTTCTAAATTAAATCATAATTTGAGAAATGTTCTTTTTATTATGACTATTTACTCTGATTATAACTTGATATTAGAATTTATTTGATTATCTGAATTATTTAAATGCAATAAAAGGCTAAGATGAAATGGGGAAATACTTTTCGGAGCACTGTAGGCTTTATATCAGTATATTCACCCTATGGGTAGGACAGTAGGTGTTTGAATTAATTAACTTTCTTTATATTGTTAGCATGACAGACTGTTGTACAGAGAATGCTAATAGGTTTAGCATGCTAATGGTTTTAGCATGCTAATGGTTTTAGCACGCTAATGCGCATGGGGAAGGAAATGTAGAAATAAACTGAAAGTTACCATCTACTTTTTTTTCTCAGTTTATTTACTTAAAATAAAAATATTTTACAGTGACGAATTTCTACAGGTTTGTGATTAAATTAAATTAGACAATGCCTAAATTGTCCCTCACTTTTCTCAGACGTTACTCTGACTGAATGGATCATTTCTGTGAATTTTCACTTTGTAAATTATTTTTTCTTTGCACAAAAAACCATAAGCTCGCTGTTAAATTGAGCCTGTACATGTTAGCCTAGCTAAGGTTAGCTCAGGCTAGCCTTACTGTCTCAAATGGTTTTTAACTGGCCTTCTCTCACCTCTTTGTTTTGTTTTAATCTTTGTACATATTTATAATATGTTATATGATGTCTTGGTTAGCATATTAGAGCTAGCAGTTGTATTGTATCCATTTTTGATAGACGACTAGCTGGTGCTAAAGCTAACAGCTGAAGCTACATTAGCTTAGCAACGCATCACTGCAAGAAAGCCAAATAAAATATACCTCTGAAAGTCTCAGATTTATATTGTATTTCTTAAAGTTATAGTGAACAGGTGTACATGCATCTTTATGCATTTTACACATTTTCCATGTTTTCCTGTTTGATAAATTCAGGCCCTGCTATTATATACAGACAATGATATTCAGTGTTCCAGCGTAATTGAGGCGCAGTGCTGTTTAGTATTA